TATTAAATATAATTTTCTTAATTTTCAAAAAAGACTCACAGACTCTTCAAAAAAGACTTAAAAATACCCAAAATGTGATAATTTTGTGGGTATTACGGTCTTGGCACTCCAGAGCCTCCAAATATGTTCTAGGTAATCAGGAAATTAGATACCTAATGTAAGCCCTTGAAAGATTGAAGGCGCTCCTTGGATTTTGGACCCCTTTACATGAATAGGCTGCACAAGTCTCACATCTCCATACTCTGCAGGAGTCGTTTGCACTGCCCTGGCATTTTAGTGGCATTTTAAAAAATACAGATACAGTAATTTTTTTAATAATATATATATATATATATATATATATATATATATATACAGTGGAACCTCAACTTGCGAGTTTAATTCGTTCCATGGTAGAGCTCGTAACTTAATATGCTCGCTCGTTAAATCAATTTTCCCCATAAGAAATAATGGAAACGGCCGTAATCCGTTCCAACCCTCAAAATGGCACCTCATATTTTTCATTTTTCTTGTTATTTCATAAGGAAAAAAGCTTTTTACATAACAAATATTATATAAAAACAAAATAGAAAGAAAATATGAAGATATAATAAGGTTGTATACAATTTACTTACCTTGGAGATGAGACGACTTGAGCTAATGGAGATGGCGGAGGTGGCGGGTAGAGGAGACAGGCGGAGGTGGACGGATGACTGTTTTGCTATCACTACATTCGTACGTAAATGTACACTACGTTGTAACTAAACTTAAATGCTACTTAACAATTGCTTTACATATCTTAAACTTAAATGCTACTTAACATTTTTTTCTTATTTTTTTATTTTATTATTAAATGTTTTCTTTTAGCTTAATTCTCATCACTCTCTTCACTTTCACTAGTTCTTGGCCTTTTTGCCACACTTTGCTCACTTCGAGCAACGAATCTCAGTGTTTACTCTGCCACATGTAGACAGCGAGAGAGAGAGAGAGGCTCGGAGATGGGATGCTGTGACTCATACCCTCTGAGCTGCGCGCTCCTCGAAAATATACACTTAGAGCTGCGCGCGCGCCTCGAACTGGTATCTTAAAATTCTGCTCGCGTGCTGAAGCAAAAAATCGTCCGAGCGACTGCTCGTATCTCGGAAAACCCGCACGTTAGTTTGCTCGTAGGTTGATGTTCCACTGTATATAAAATATATATAGTTTGTAGACGCTATAACCTTCACACAGACTAAATAAATGACACTTTTTTTACCAAAGAAATGTAGCATAATACATTTTGGCCTACATTTAGGGAGAAAAATTGTTTATTTTATTTGCAAAGCTGTATAGCAAAAACTAAGGGTTTTTTTTTTCAAAATGTTAAGTCTTTTTTTTTTTTTTACTTTATATAGTAGAAAATAAAAACCCCTTGGTAATTGCCTCCAAAAGAGAGCTCCATCTGTCTAAAAAAAAAAAATATGTAATTCATTTTGGGTACAGTTTTGCATGACCAAGTAATAGTCTAAGTATCACAGTGCTGTAAATTGAAAAATGGCCTGGAAAGGAAGGGTGTTTAACATACCAGTGATTAAAGAGATTTTTAAAAAAAAATCAGGTAAACACAAAAAAAAAATGTTTAAATGCTTAAATGCAGTTTTTTTCCCTGAAGACTTCATGTAAGCACATAGCCCTGCCCAGCCCCTGCACTAACCAGGTTTGGGCTACCAAATTATATGTGCACACACACACACACACACTAGAGTAAAGTTGCACTTCTGTTTGTCCAGAAGCAATATTTTTGTTTATAAAACTTAGTTTTTATTTATAAAGACATGATATACAGTTCAGGAAATAAGTATTTGATCCCCTACTGATTTTAAATGTTTGCCCACTCACATAGAAATGATCAGTCTAAAAATCGAATGGTTATGATAGGGGATCAAATACTTATTTCCCTCATGAACATGCAAATCAGTGCATAATTTGTTAGACATGCATTTCGTTCGAATTTTTTATTGCTATTCTGTCTCTCAGTGTTACAATACACCTACCATTCAATTTTTAGATTGATCATTTCTTTGTGAGTGGGCAAACATTCAAAATCAGCAGGGAATCAAATAATTATTTTCTTCACTGTATGACAACTGCTAAATCTGTGTTTATAGTGCATGTAGAAATCTTAATACCATAAATAATAACAAGTTGTTAGATTTTTTTACTCCAGGAGTATATAATGAGTTTGGAAATTCTAGAGAAATGCTTAAATAATGCATTAAAATTTAACTAAACTCAGATTTTAGTCAACTAAAATGTACTGAAGATTTTTATACTAACTGAAAATTGGAATTGATTTCCATCATAATTTTTACCTATTGACTTAATTCTAATTTTATTTTCGTTTGGTTTTCATGAGTGTTTCAGCATCATGGGTGGGTAGCTTCTCAGGTTTTGCCAAGGGATAATTTGCACGTCAGCAACATGGTCCTCTTTACATACTTTTGTGTCTCACTACTGTGTCGAACTGGCAGCTTTGACAGTTGTCAAAATTGGCATAAAAGTAATTGTTGCACCTTGCCATAATTAAAATTGTTGTGCTGCATTATTAATAATTAGTTATTTCCCAGCTGTATGCTGACATGGAGCCATCGGGGAAACCGAAGAAGTGTCCATCATACTTGTTGCAATTTTCCTTTCAGGGCGAGCTCTATGGCAGCAGCAAGTTCCCACTCAGTCTGGGGAGACTAGTTACATAATGCCAGGCTGTGGTGGTAGCTCAAAATTTAGGAGCTCAGGTCCTGAATAATGCAGGGGTGAGCAAGGCCTACCCAGCGGTGTGTGTTATCATGGAGCTTGTCAAGAAGGGAAAATTGTGGTAAGTATGATAGACAATTTCTCGTTTTCCTTTCCACAAATAATTTTTATTCACTTGCAATGTGTTTTTAATTCAAAACACAGCTATTACTTACTGTAGCACAGCCTCCTAATCTGGGAGTATCTATTGCATTCCGTGCTGGCCTCGCCCCTCACTTCAGCTTCTCATATAAATTTTGTTGTACCTGTCAGAAAAGGAGCAATGAGGAATGCTAAAGAAATGTCAATCAAAGCGGAGCTCCACCCAAAAGGGGAAGCTCCGCTTTAAGGACTGCTCCCCCACTCCCCATTAAGGATTGGCACCTTTAGGGAGTGGGTACCCAAATATGACAGGTACCCACTCCCACTTCTGGTCCGATTGCCTAGAAGGACAGTTAAGTGGCTGTTTTTTAAAAGTTAGCAGCTACAGTTTTTGTAGCTGCTGACTTTTATTTTTTGATAGGTCGAGTGGAACTCTGCTTTAAGTGGCAGCTGTGAGTCTTCTGGGGCTGCTGACATTACATTCAAAATGGAGGCATCCATTTCAGACTCAGGTCTTTTTGATGTCCACATAAGAAAGGCTTTTACTGTTCAAATATATGTAAACCCTCAGCTTGTAAACAATCCATTCAGTTTAAAATGGAAGTGAAAGGCAAAACATTTGTGTATAGATATAAAAATAGGGGAAAAGGTGTTTATTTTTCATAAGTGATCACATACCCCATATTCTTAACTGCATAGGAGCTAGGGGTAGAGAAACAGCTGAACACTGATCTTCCAGTGAATGGTGTTGCAGGGGTTATGTCAGGACAAGTCTGATCATTGGAGGAGATCCAGCTGAGTTTGTAGCACAGCTAGAAAACTGACCAAAGGGTTTTTTATTTTTTTATTTTAAATAGGAACAATTGAGTACTGTCCGTGATACTTTTTTTATTTGCACTAACATACAATTTTGAGGACAAGCTTTCGGGGTATGTCCCCTTCTTCAAAGTCCAAGCAGTACTATTACAAATCACAAAGTTTAAGCAGAATGTTAGAAGGTATGAAAAAAAAAAAAAAAAAAAAAGGCTACAGATAAGATACAGCAAAAGCGAAGGGGGGGGGGGGGGGATACTACACTCACACAGAGGGAGTCAAGCTTTAGCTAATAGTCATAAAACTGTCGGATAATGATTGAGGAATCCCATATCCAAGTAAAATAGGAAAACAGATGGACTGTCAGGAACACCAGGTATTTCACACAAAGGAATCAATACAAAGTGAACAGAATACTTTCTTGATTTGTTTCTGCCTTCAGCTCCCTTCTCGATGGACACAGCCTTACGTTGGATTTTCTGCGGGCCCATATATCAGTTATCTTGAAGGAGGGCAAAGATCCTTCCCTGTGCCTGAATTTCCAACCAATATTGCTTTTGAATACAGATGTGAAGATTTTTTTTTACCAAAGTCTGCTCCCGTTACTTGTTGCCTCTCCTTCAGGAAATCATGCACCCTGATCGAGTGGGCTTTATGCCCTTCAAAGAAGCCAAGGACAATACAACTAGGGCTTTAAATATTATTCACTCTCAATTCACCTGTGCTTGCTTTCTGCAGACAGTGTGAATGCATTCGACAGGGTGGACTGGCTTTTCCTGAAAGAGACGCCTAAGTATGTAGAAGTAGGATCAGCTTCCTTACTTAAATTGAGTCCATCTATTCCAGCCCGATGGCAGGGGTGATAACCTCTGCATATATTCTGCTATCCATGGTACCAGACATGGGTGCCCCTTGTTGCCCTTGATATTCATATTGTCCTTGGAGCCCTTCCTGCAGCATATTACGATACAATCAGAACATCAGTGGTTTCTCAGTGGGCCCTGTAGAACATAAGGTAGCTGCTTTTGCTGACGACCTGCTGTTTTTTTGTCGTATCCCCGGAGACTACTCTTCCAAATCTCCTAGAGGAATTCCGATGATATGGCACCTTATTGAACTTTAAAATTACCACTAGAGATGAGCGAAGTATTCAAAAATTCGATTCGGCGAATTCGAGGATAAATTTGATTCAATGCGAATATATTCGCTGCGAATTTAACTTATAAAAAGGGTGTTTCTAGGCTTCAGAGAGCCTTTATATTAGTGCAGAACACTGTACCTTTAATTTTAAATGCCCTTGGAGTCTGCTGGGGAAGAGAAATAATACTGTCAGTCAGTATGACATGCAGATGAGTGCCGTCGATCTTAGAATCACCGCACACTTCACTCATTTGGGCAGTCACGGGGCCAAAACCAGAGTGTGGAGCCACAGTGTGGCGGTGGAGGCAGCACAATGGGAGGCCATACAGCACCCTATGACAAAATGGAACCCACCAGCAGTGTGAGGAGACCTGAAAGTGGCACATGGCAGAGTGTGGCGATGGAGACAGCAGCAATGGGAGGCCGTACAGGGACCCATGAGACACTCTGGACCTGGCAGCAGCATGTGGACGGCCTGGGAGGCGGTACAGGGACCCATGGCAGATTACGGGCCTGGCAGCAGCAATGGGAGGCCCGTAATCTGCCAGCAACCCTATGACAAAATGGAACCCACCAGCAGTTTTGTGAGGAGACCTGAAAGTGGCACATGGCAGAGTGTGGCGATGGAGACAGCAGCAATGGGAAGCCGTACAGGGACCCATGAGACACTGTGGACCTGGCAGCAGCATGAGGAGGCGAGGCGGTACAGGGGCCCATGGCAGATTAGGGGCCTGGCAGCAGCAATGGAGGCCCGTAATCTGCCAGCACCCTATGACAAAATGGAACCCACCAGCAGTGTGAGGAGACCTGAAAAGTGGCACATGTTTGGGGCATGAATTCATGGCGGATTTAGTCAGTTTGTGTCAGGAACTGGTGGTTTGAAATCCAGACTAATCCACGCCTGATTCATTTTCACAAACGTGAGTCTCTCCACACTTTGGGGGTGGACAGTCGTGTCCACCCCGCGGAGTTTACAATACCTCCTGCCGCACTAAAACACGCGCTCCGATGCCACGCTACTGGCCGGGCATGACAGCCTTTCAAGGGCAAATTCAGCTAGTTGGGGCCAAAGGTCAAGTTTTTCGTATGCCCAGTAGTCAAGGGGATTGTCTACCTCGGTTGGCAGGGTGCTGTCCGCCCAAGTAGGCCCAAGCCTGTTTGTTTGAGGTCCTGCTCCAGGTCCACCTGATGCTTGCTGCTGCTGCTGCGGCTGGTTAGTAGTTTCCTCACTGCGCTGGTGAAGAAAGCTACTCATCATCGACTGCAGACTGAGGCAGCCGCTGCTGGTGGAGCTGCCACTGCTCCTACCACCCACCTCTCCCCTGCTGCCATGGCAGCGGAACGCGAGCGCACAGGGCCCACAGTGTCTGAGGATGGACGTTGGCGCAGAAAGGCAGAGACCAACTGACTACATAGGTGGTTTTTTATATGTACGTTATTTTGGCCTCCCTCTCAGCAGGTGTGTGAAAAGGCCACCATTTTTGAACGGTAGCGAGGGTCCAACAAGGTGGACAGCCAAAAGTCATCCCTCTGTCTGATGGTTATTATTCGGCTGTCGCTAACAAGCAAGCGAGCATGCTATGGGCCATTTGTGCCAAGGAATGCGAGGGAGCTCCCTGCCTCCATCTCCACAGCATACTGCCACGGTGCGTCTGGGTCCTCTGTCTCCTCCTCCTCCTCCCTCTACCAGATGCTCCTGCTCCTCCACTCCTGTCCGCTGGCTGAGTGGAAAAACCACCCCATTTCACTCAATAATTCCTGAGCACCCAATGTCCTCCTCTACCTCCTCCTCTTCTCTGTCCTGCCCCCCACAGGGGTCATGTGGCTTGTTGAGATCTGTGCGCCACGTCTACCGCACCCTGACCAGCCATTGTTAAATCAGCATTTGTTCCAGGACGTGCAAACAGAGGAAATGACGTCGTTCATCTCCCATAGTCCTGCCGACACACGAATAGCGTGTGGCCTCCTCAAAGGGCCTGAGCAAGCGGCAGGTGTCACGCATGAGCTGCCAATGGCTGACAAATCGAAGTTACACAGGGGAGTACCTTTTATCCGCTTGTAACATCAGGAAATCGGTGATGGCCTTTCGCTGTTCGTAAAGGCGGTCTAACACGTTGTAGGGTTGAATTCCACCTTGTTGCAACGTCGCAGATCAGGCGATGCTGTGGAATTCCGTTCTGCCGCTGCAGCTCAAGGAGGGTGTGCTTTGCGGTGTTGGAATGGCTGAAATGCATGCAAAGTTTACGTGACATTTTAAGGATGTCTTGCAGTGGGATGGTGGATTTTAGGAACCAGCTTGACAACCAGATTGAACACGTGAGGCCATGCATGGCGCATGGCACAACCTTCCTTGACGCAGAGCAGACACCATGTTCTTTCCGTTGTCGGTCAACATGGTTCGATTTTCAGTTTGCGCGGAGACAGCCATCTGTCGATTTTCTCTGTTCATTACACTCAGAAGTTTCCTCCCCTGTGTGACTACGTTCGCCAAGGCATACCAGGTGCAGCACAGCGATACACCGTTGCGCCCTGCACATGTGATATGCCGGTCGGGTAATGGGACTTGGCACGGGGGGGGGTGGCGGCGGAGGACATGGCGGAAGAAGAGGTGGTAGAGGCGGACATCTTTGCTGGACCAAGGACGTGCAAACGTGGAGGCAAAAGCGGCGTGACCTGTCCAAGTTGCTGGTGCGGCTGTGCCGGCACCACGTTCACCCAGTGGGCCGTAAATAACATGTACTGTCCCTGACCGTAGTTACAGCTCCACACGTCGCGCTGCCGTGCACTTTTTGGCAGAGACCGAGATGCTCAAAGGACTGGCCCACCATCTCTTCTACATGTGAATGCAGGGCTGGCACTGCCTTTTTAGGTGAAGAAATGCCGGCTTGGCACTCTCCACCGCAAGCGCGTAACAAGCCATCATTTCTCGGAAAGGTGCTGAGTCCACCACTTGGAAAGGTAGGGACTGCAGCACCAGCAACTTGGACAGGAGGACGTTCAGCTTCTGCACCGTCGGGTGCGTGCTCGCAAACTGTTGTCTCTTGGAAAACGGATTCCAAGAAAGGGGGGGGGGGGGTGGGGGGGACTGCTGACGGAATCCGTGAAGAGGAGTAGCAGGAGAAGGGAGCATCTGAACGAGCGGAAGATGACAACGAGCGACAACTCCCCTCAGCAGAGGTTGTTGGAGCCTTGACTGGCTGATAGAGGGCGATTGACGTCGGTTTAACGGAGCGGGTGATGGAGCGGGGGCTGGGCAGGCAGAACCGCCCGTAAACTTATCACGGTTTTTTCCCATGGCCACCAAATGGCGTCGCGGGCATATGCTGATGCAACGCTGGAAGTCCCAACTTGTGCCACCTTGCCAACGGGTTTTCGTTTCTGGCCACTTAGTCCACATACGGCCTACGGTACATGCTCGGGCGGCTTGACGAATAATAATTATGGCTCCCAACGTTCCGAGTTGGTAATCTTTGCACCTCCGCTTCTCCTCAATGGCTGAATGCCTACTTCCTGCCTCCATGTGGCACACCGGCACCCCACTACTGGACGTGGTGGTAGTGCTGCAGTGGAGCTGGTGCTCTACTCCGTGGCCGTTTGCCTCCACTGACACTGCTGCGACCCCCGCTGCCCCTGGGCAAAACCCCCCGACTGTTTTTTCTCGCTGCAAGCTGGGGACCCTCTTCTCCTTTCTGATGCAGAAGCATAGCCTGAAAGACGACGGG